GTCTTAAGGAAGGGGGTAACAGTGAGGAAATGGCTCAGTGGGTAGAGAACATGTTGTGAAGACATGAGGATCTGAATTCAGGTCTGTGGCACTCACAGAAAAGCCAAGCATGGCAATACTCATCTGTAACCCCAGCTCTAGGGGTGGTGGGGCAGAGGCAGGTGGAGACTCAGAGTTCCCTGGATAGCCAGTCTAGCCCAGTCAGTGAACTCCGGTTTCAGTGAGAGACATTGCTTCAGAAAGTAAGGTGGACAGCAATTGAGACATCTGATCGTGACTTCTGGCTTCCACATGCATGTGGACACATGTGCATACACACACCATGCACAAACACATACACACAGGTACACATTACATACAAACAAAAAATTAGCCATGATCTATGCTGTGAAGGGGACTGCATTGTACTCTCTATGGAAATGTATAATAATGTATCAGAACAGTAATAATACCTTTTAAAGATATTATGGCTTAAAGATATTGTCTCTATTCAATGACATGCACACATAGCACATAGCACACACACATAAACATGCACACACAGACGCACACACATCATACATATACACAACACACACACGGAACACACAGCACATGTACACAAATACACACATGGCACACACACAGCGCACACACAGAGCACACCCACATGCACACATGGCACACATAGCATATACACAAAGAGCACACACAGCACACACATGGCACACACAGAGCACACACACATACACAGCACCCACACATAGCACATAGCACACACACATAAACATGCACACACAGACGCACACACATCATACATATACACAACACACACACGGAACACACAGCACATGTACACAAATACACACATGGCACACACACAGCGCACACACAGAGCACACCCACATGCACACATGGCACACATAGCATATACACAAAGAGCACACACAGCACACACATGGCACACACAGAGCACACACACATACACAGCACCCACACATAGCACATAGCACACACACATAAACATGCACACACAGACGCACACACATCATACATATACACAACACACACACGGAACACACAGCACATGTACACAAATACACACATGGCACACACACAGCGCACACACAGAGCACACCCACATGCACACATGGCACACATAGCATATACACAAAGAGCACACACAGCACACACATGGCACACACAGAGCACACACACATACACAGCACCCACACATAGCACATAGCACACACACATAAACATGCACACACAGACGCACACACATCATACATACACATATACACAACACACACACGGAACACACAGCACATGTACACAAATACACACATGGCACACACACAGCGCACACACAGAGCACACCCACATGCACACATGGCACACATAGCATATACACAAAGAGCACACACAGCACACACATGGCACACACAGAGCACACACACATACACAGCACCCACACATAGCACATAGCACACACACATAAACATGCACACACAGACGCACACACATCATACATACACATATACACAACACACACACGGAACACACAGCACATGTACACAAATACACACATGGCACACACACAGCGCACACACAGAGCACACCCACATGCACACATGGCACACATAGCACACATAGCACATACACACAGAGCACACACAGCACACACATGGCACACACACAGACACAGCACACACACATAGCACACAGCACACACACATGCACACACACATGCACACACAGCACACACATACATACATACACACAGACACACACATCATACACACACATACACACAGCACACACACATGCATACACACATGCACACACAGACATACACACACAGACACACACATCATACACACACAGCACACACATACATGCACACACACAGCACGCACACGCATACACACAGTGCACACACACAACTCTTTAAAAAGAAAAGTTGATTCTGACACTTTCTTGGAGAACAGTCTGAATGTGCACAGAATTAGAGGTGAGGACAGAAGTTTGGCGGCTGCAGAAAGTGTGGATGAGAAGTGCAGGTGGCTTGGTCAGCACTGTGGGCAGAGAGCAGGGCTGAGTAATTCACTGTTTATAATTATGTTCAGCAACAGGGGGGAGGTGTGCCACACCACAGTGTGTGTGTGAGGTCAGAGGACAACTTGTGGGACCTGGTTTTCTTTTTTCACCTTATGGGTCCAGGGGCTCAAACTCCACTCATTAGGGTTAGCAGCAAGTGTCTTTACAACCCTGAGCCATCTCTCCAGCCCTGGAAGACACAGGTTTATGACTAGAAAGCTTACAAGTTTTCTTTAAGCTTGTGCAAGGACCTCCTTTATTAACTCTCAAAAAGGTGTTTTAAAAATTTTTACTTCTGGGGCTGGAGGGATGGCTCAGTGGTTAAGAGCACTGGCTGCACTTACAGATGACCTTGGTTCAATTCCCAGTATCCACATGGTGGCTGACAGCCACCCATAACTCCAGTTCCAGAGGAATCTGACACCCTCTTTTGTCCTCTGCTGGCATTACACAACACAGGTGCACCTATATACATGCATACACTCATACACATGAAGTAAAAGTGCTAAATAAGATACTCATTTAAATCTCGCTTCCTGGCAGCATTAACCCTTGTCTACCTCACCTCATCCGTATCAGAAGTTCTGTGGATTTTATAAAATCCTTACCTTCTTAACTGTTGCGAGTAAGTTTCCGGTTTGTTTTTTCTCTTCACTCTTGGACACGTTTCATTTTCAGAAACCTGCACACAGCAGCTCGGGTGGAAGTGGCTCTCAGATCGTCAGAAAGCTGATAATAGTAAGTGGCCACAGTCCATGGCTCCTCAGCATGGACCTCGCCAGCCCCTCTGTGCTGTGTGCCTAAACCCTTAACTTGATGATGAACATTCCTGGCGGCCCCCTCCTGGGCTGAGCTGCGGCTAGACTTGTGGGGTAGCTATGCCATGCTGTTTCCTGCCTAAGCCCTTTGTGCTGAGGCAGAGCTGAGTGGGTGTCGACTGTGGGTCATCCTCCCTTCCTCTTCCTCGGCTGTCCTCACCTCTCATTTTAGTGTAGCTTATTTATGGTGTTTGAGTCACAGTGGCCTGTAGTTAAGCAGGACTTCAGTCCTTTTTAACCCACACAATTTCCATCAGTTGCTGCAGTCTGGTTCACTGTGGAGTACGGCAACTGAATGTTCCTGGAAAATCAACTCCCTGTGATCTAAAATGCTTCTAATTTAACAGACATTACATTTTAAAGGATCATATCAAGTTTGAAGTATTTCTTGTTCGTTTTAAAATGCAGTATTGTGTGAAGTTGTGTTGTTCCTGGTCTTAGGAGTGCCTCGTCAGTGACTTCTCCGAGGAAAGAGACATTGAGATGATCCCTGCTATTTTTAGTACCTGTGGGCCACATTTGGTTCATGGAGACTGGTCTGACCCATAGGCCTCTGTCCCTCAGGATCCCACCTTCAAACCCTGCCAGATGAAGACGCATTTCCAGTTGCCCTTCCCAGTGAATTATGTTGGCGAGTGTATCAGAACCGTCCCCTACACAGATCCAGATCATGCCAGGTAGGAGGCGGGTGGAACAGAGGCCCCTCTCTCCTGTCTGCATCTTAATAAAGCTGTCTTCCAAACATGTTAGAAAGTAGAAAATGGGCTGGGGAGATGGCTCGGTTGGTAAAGTACTTGCCTTGCATGCATGTGGACCTGAACTTCAGCCATGTAAAAGCCAGGTGTGCTAGCATGCTGTTCAGACACCCTCGGTGTGGGACAGAGACAGACAGATCCCTGGGGCTCGTTGGTCAGTCATTCTAGCAACAGTCAGTGAGCTCCAGTTTCGGTGAGAGGCTCTGTCTCAAAGACTAAGGCAGCGAGCATTCTGTGGAAGAACGAACTGAAGTAGCTTACCTTCAGTTGTGGGTGAGTGAGTTTACTATTAGAATCCTGAAACTCACCTGGGCTCCCAAATGAGAGTCCTGGGGAGCATCGCCCTTGGTGAATCCTCAGGATTCCTGATCCCACCCAGGCATTTTTATACCAGGGGTCAGTAGTGACCTCTCTGGAAATGGTTTGCCTTCCAGCTGTTCTCAGGGCACAGAGTTTTGAATATCCTTTGGCTGTTTGCTGTTCTCCTTGTCACAGGGCCAGGGGTCAGCCTGCCCTAGGACAAAGTGCCTTGGAGGACGCGAGATGAACATGCTTGAGTTGAGGCCAGGGAACCCACCCTGTTCCGAGTCATCTCTGAACAGAGCAAAGAGCACATGACGATTTATTTGTGTAATTGATGCTACGGAGAGTGATAGAGGAAGACACCCAGTATCGACTTCTGGTATCCACATGGACATGTGCACAGACACACAAACACATGCAAGTGTAGTACACACCTCACACACACATACACACACACACACACACACACACACACAGGAGAGAGGGAGGGAGGGAGGGGGGAGGGATGCTTTGTACCATAGATGGTTTCAGCAGTGACTTTATGAAGAAAATAGCCCATGTGATATGCAGCTATTTTTTAACATTTCTGAATTGTGATTGGTAGTTCAGGAGATAGAGAGGACTAACCATATGTTATTTTACAACTTTACCTTCTTTATTTTATTTTTGAATTAATTATTTTAAACCCATTTCTTGGGATTGTTTATGTTATACTTTTTGTGAGTCACGTTGTCTCTAACTTACTAATTCCTCATTTTAGTCTCAAGATCCTTGCGCGGTTGATGACAGCTAAATTTTTGCACACGGAAATTCGAGAAAAAGGAGGTGTTTATGGTAGAGGAGCTAAACTCGGCCACAATGGGATTTTTACCCTTTACTCTTACAGGTGGGTTTCTTTTGTTGCCCATGTGTGAGCATGCAGGTCTTTACCGCCCTGGCTCTGTCCCTTCTCAGTGTCATTACTTCATGTGAACATCGTGAAAGGAGGTAGCTTCATAATTCGTATGCGTTGGTCGAATGCAGTCGAGGAGGTTTCTGAGCTAGATTCAACTGTGTGAAACTTAGTAGGAATACAGTTCTGCTCAGTTTTCAGAGGTGCAAGAGTGTTTGCGTTTTCTTTACAGTCTACCACCTGTAGTCTTGTATACACTAACATGTTAGGAGGGGCCTTGGTACTGACCCAGTTCTCCTTATCCTTACTGCCTTGACTTGCCTTACCCACTGACTACCTGGGGACTGCACTTTAAACAAGGGTCCCGGAAGCAAATTTTTAGTACCTTGGAGGTGTGTGTGCCTAAAGGCTTAGTATCTATTTTGGCTTAGACACAAGAAAACACCTCAGAAATTCCCCTACCTCTAAGTAACTTCCACATTATTCTGTCTGACGGAAGTGGAAGGGTCTGTCTGACGGAAGTGGAGGCTAGTTTAATCTTTCTCCTCCCCACAGCTCTTCTGTAATATTTTGGTAATGCTGTTCCCCTCCATCCCTGTGACTCCTTTCTTGAGGAGGTCAGCCTGACAGTGGGGTCAGTAGGTGAACCATGGTACTAAATATAGGACAAGTGTGCCGTGGGTTTCCTTGGTCAGATTTAAGTTTCTGCAGAGAAATATTGGTCTCTGTGGGCTGTTGAGAGTGTGAAGGGTCAGAGAAAATATCAAAGGATTGTTAACACGCTTGGCATGGACTTTTCCTTTGATAAAATGTTTCAATACTGACCTTTTTTGGGCTTCCCAGGGATCCAAACTTCATAGAAACACTCCAGTCTTTCGGGAAAGCTGTAGACTGGGCTAAATCTGGCAAGTTCACCCAGCAAAACATTGATGAAGCCAAACTTTCTGTGTTCTCTTCCGTGGATTTGCCTGTTGCTCCATCAGACAAAGGTATTTTGAGTCCTGGGAGCCTTGGTACGCGGTTTCCACCGGGCAGATTTCCACAGTTTTCTGAGTCATTGTTTCTTGCTTACTTGAAGAGTACCAGAAAATCTGTCATTTCAGTTTCCTCCATTTCTCTGTCCTGTATGATATGATTTTCACATTTGACAGGCTTCATATTGACCTTAAAAGGGAGTGTGCTAGATAGCTTTAGTGTCAACTTGACACATCTGGGTTGAGTGACCCTCAATTGGGGAATTGTCTCCATTGGACTGGCCTATGGCCATGTCTGTGAGGCATCTTCTTGATTGTTGAGTGATGTGGGAGGGCCCAGCCCACTCTGGGTGGTGCCACCCCTGGACAGGTGGGCATATGTTGCATAAGAGAGCAGGCTGAGCAGGGGCCAGGGAAGTAAGCCAGTAAGCAGAGTTCCTCCATGGCCTGTGCTCCAGCTCCTGCCTCCAGGCTTCTGCCCTGATGGGCTGGCTCCCTGTGAACTGTGTCCTGGGAGATGTAAGATAAAATAAACCCTTTCCTCCCCAAGTTGGTATTGGTCAGAGTATTTTGTCCCAGCAATGGAGAGGCAAAGTAGGACAAGGTGCTTCTCACAGACTGGAAAAGGAGCGCAGTCAGTAAAGTACTTGCTAAGCAAGGATGAGGACGTGAGCTCAGCCCTCAGAACCCGTGTGAAAAGCCAAGCATGGTGGTCCACACTTTCCATGATTTGGGGACAAGGCTAGTCAGCCAGCCTACCCTACTTGCTGTTCTCCAAACCAATTAGAGACCCTGTCTCATTAAGCGAAGTGGATGTGGCTGGGAAGATGGCTCAGCAGTTACAACTGTTACTGTGCTTGTAGAGAACCTGAGTTTGGTTCCCAGCACCAACACTGGGCAGCTCACATCCACCTGTGACTCCAGCTCCACCTGACACCCTCTTCTGACTGTAGGCAACTGCACTCACCACCACCCCCAGACACACAAGTATACATATAATTAGGAAAATAGTAAGTATATCTTTAAAAACAAAAAGTGGATGAGGCTTAGAGAATGACACCTGGGGTTTTCCTCCAGCCTCCATGCACACACACATGTACACACATACACATGCACATACATGCTTCTTGACACCTAGCCTGGGACCTCCTGCTGTTTGTCATCTCAGACAACTCAAGAGCTTGAATAACCCAAAACCCAGCGAGGCGAGCCAGCACCCACAGTAATAGCACTGGCTACTAGGGCTGGAGGAAGACATCGTGATACGTCACTGTTCAGTGCCTCTCCTGTTTGCATTGTCATTGCCATGCATGATGCATACGGACACTTTATCCAGTCCGTAGCAGGTTCGGTTCAGTTCTGTGGAGGTAGAGGGCGGGTTTGATCTCTCTCACCCATGAAAACTCCGGTTGAAAAAGTAATGTTTGACAGAGGCCCCTGTGCAAACCATCCCCCAAACCAGCCTGTCCGTCCCCTGCCTGTGGTTGAACTTTTAGGAATGGACGACTTGTTGTATGGCTTCTCGAACGAGATGAAGCAGGCTTACCGTGAACAACTCTTTGCCGTCAGCCACGACCAGCTGACCACTGTGAACAACGAGTGTGGCCGGCGTGGCTTCCTGTGGTCAGTCGGGGGAAGGGACTCAGATGGGAAGGCTTCCTGTTGACCTTTAAGAACACTTTAACAGTGGAAGACTGTGCATGCAAAGTGCCTTCTCCCTTGCAGGTACCTGGACATTGGGAAGAGCACACATGGCTTGGCTGTACTTGGACCAGAGAACGCGAAAATTGCCAAGGACCCATCATGGATAATAAGATAACATATTTCTGGATACACTGGAGCACACTTGTACCCGTGTAGGCTCCTAAAACCTAAGTCTCTGCACCAAATTGAATGTGAATGACACACATGTTACTGCTTTTACCAAAAGTCATTGTTAGGTCATATTTAGAATTTGACTAAAGGTTATTTATTGACTAGTAAGTTGGTCAAAGACTCTTCTGTTTTAAGGAAATATACAGTGACCGTGAAAAGATATATTATAATAATCATGCATTAAATGTCAAATTTTGAAACTTTTAGAGTCTAGAACATATATTTTCAAAATAAAAGTTGACTCTGACCCACCTGTGCTTTAGTCATTATTTTAAATGTTTTGCTACTTTGAAAATAGTGTGTTCAAAGCTGGGCATGATGGCGCACGCCTTTAATCCCAGCACTCGGGAGGCAGAGGCAGACGGACCTCTGTGAGTTCAAGGCCAGCCTGGTCTACATAGTGAGTTCCAGGCCCCCTGGGGCTACAGGGAGACCCTGTCTCAAAACAGATCAAAAAAAAAGAGAAAAGAAAAAAGATTGAATAAAGCATTGCATTATAGAATGAAAGTGTGTTATATGTTATTTGCAAAGTATAGACAATAATAAGATACTTTTGGTTTGGTTTGGTTTGGTTTGGATATAAGATGTTGCCCTTATAGCTCAGGCTGGCCTCAGTCTTGCCATGTAATCGCATTTGACTTTGATTTCATGATCATCCTTCCTCAGACTCCCAAATGTTGGGATTACAAATGTGCGTGCATAACACACCTGCTGCTGTGAATTCCTTGTCTTTCCTTTCTGTTTCTTTTTTCCTTAAATAGGAATTATTTCATAGGAAACATTCTAAGAATAACACAACAGTGGCATTTTATTTAA